AATTATTTTTATCTTATTCTTTATTTATTTTAGTTTATTTCTCCATTTAAGACTCATCCTTAGCTTTTCACTATCCCTAACTGCATAGGCCTATTTAGTGAATATATATCAGAAGTTCAATTTCGATCAACTATACTTTTCCTATATAAATGTATTTCTTATACCTCATATATAAAACTCACAAAATCTTTTTACATTGCAAGTTAAATGCTTTGCTTACATATAAACGACAGTGAAACCTGGATATGGTTATTGATCTAGCATATATGTATATCTGTACTGAGTGTTTAGTTTATATAGTTTATAGAGCCCAGTTGCTACCTGTTAAATAATTCTAAACACTTTAACCTAATACGCATTTATATATATCCATTTCATCTGTGTGCTTTTTTGTACTTACCGCCTTGTACCAGATGACTTTGGTATTGGGGAATGGCTCATAGTGCACGCTCAGTTGGACGTGGCCCCCAATGAGTGCGGTGCAATCTTCCGGGCCCCTCAATATGCAGCTGCTGGCAGCCAGCGGGAGATTGTGCTGCTCCTTGTTATTATTATTATTTATATTATTATTGCTATTGCTGCTGTTGTTGTTGTTGTTGTTGACGGGTAGTACTAGAAGGCTGGTATAGCTGCGTATGGAGGGCGCACGTCGTTCCGCCTGTGGATGTTTCACTTGTAGTCGCAATTCGCCGCTCTGGGTCAGTTGCACGTTTCGCAGGCGCAGCAAGCGAATGCCGTTCTCTGGATATGACTCCAACTGAAATGAAGATAAAGCGATTTTAGTAACAATAACTATGTATGTGTGTGTGTGTGTGYGAGTTGTCAAAACAGCTGGCACATGGAAGAGCAAATACTTGAGTATGCGCCTCAATGACAACGACGAGGCAATGAAATATGCACCCAGTTAAGTAAGCTATTTACACAGATACACACACATATATGTGCATATCCAAATATATGTATATGTATACATATTTTTATATTTACATATATACATGTATTGGAACAATTGAATACACAGGCGCAACGCGAGGCGCCAACGGCCAGGGTCAAACGGCGAATGACGAGCCACCAATTAATGATTGAGAACATTTTAAAAATAATAATGAAAGCCCATCGAGCTTGACCGACTGCCTCATACCCGACACTGGCAAGGAGTTGAGCACGAAATTTATAGCTGAAATCATGAGTGCATCAGGCTAATTTAAAGTCTCCACAAATCATCCGAGCACACTTTGCGCAAAACCTAATATACCCCCTTCACATTCTGAGCGAGTATAGCAATATGAAAAAGCCGAGCACGTTTTCGGTTTCGGTTTTTAGTTTCGCAAATAATGTCACATTCCCGCTACAAACACAACACAAGCCAACGCTCTCGATTTCGTTATCAGAGCAGACGCCTTAAAGCTCAACATTTACTTAGATATGTGCACTATCTTTGCTTCTTGCGCGCTATCGATATTGCATTACCTGCGACATCTTGTCACGCCCCTTTCTGAAGCGAGGGGGCTACACGAATGTACATATATTGTAATTGTTAAAGGCGTGCAATTGCTTGCTGCTTTTGTGTGCACCGCTCGAAAGCCATTGAACGAGTGCCTGGCCGGCTGTCCGCGCTGCTCTGTTTGCTCTTCTCCGATCGAGCATCGCATCCGATTGGATTGCCGACGCTGGCGTCGACTGCGACTGCGACGTTGCGTCGTTAACGTCGTTTGCATGCGTTGCGTATACCGCGGCATTTTAATCTTTTATTTTTTGGAGTCTCATTTCTCTGCCCATGTGTTTATGTGTGTATATGTGTGTGTATAAATGACGGCGTATTGTTATTGTCAGCGTTGACAAGGTGTCAACGCAGCGCTTTTTGTCTTTATTTCTTGACGAAATTACCTGCCCAGCGGCAAGGCTGTAGACCCTCAATTGCTGGAGAGCTAAAAGCCAACTTGCCGCGTCTCATCGTGTCTCATCTAAATAATTTTTGGGCCAAAAAGGCGCGCACACAAATTGCCTCATTGGCTGCCCTTCAACCCAATTGGCATTTAAGATATATAGACTGATTTGTTAAGAAATATAAAAAATACCTATAGGTCTAGCAAGTAGTATTTAAATAAAAGATAGCAGAAAACTTTTATAAAAAAAAAAAAAAATAAAAAAATAAATAAATAAAACCATTTACTCTTCATTATGATGCCCTGAATCCATTAAAATTATGATATCAGGATATTATGTCTTTTAAAGTTATTATATAAATAACAGTATCTGTGGCCAACTATTTATATTCTAGCTATTGAATATAACCCAAACAAAGAAATATTCAAAAAATTCAAAGCTCTTGACTAACTTGGCAAATCAAAACTAAAAGCTTAAAGTGCATATTAGGTATGCATTTCTCTTCGAAGAATCTTGAGTGGAATTATGCAAATGAGTGAAAGGTCATATATTCTTGTTTATGTTAAAAGTTACAATACCATAACCAGCTCAGCTATTAATAATAAGCATATGCTATAGTAGCAGAGAGCATACAAAATTCGTTCTGCTGTCAATATGCATGTTAATAAGTTCGTTTTTGGGTTCATAATTGCTTGGCTGTGTCTTACGCACCATTTGGTTTGGTGAGTCATCCGTAATCAGTTTTCCGTTGAGATACCATTCGACATCCGCTTGGCAGGGGAAAACACGCGCATAGAAGAGAGCTTCGGCACCTGGAGCACAGACCAATGGCAGCGGCGGCTTTAGCAGCTGTACGCTCTCTTCGGTCCGTGTGAGATCGCGCTCGAGCACGCACAGCTCGCCGCTGCTGCTGCAGTCGCAGTCGCCGTCGCCGTCGCTGCTGCTGTTGCTGTCATCTGTTGTGGACGTGTACACCTGACAGCTGTAGATGCCCGAGTCAATGTCGAAGGCGTCGTTGATGCGCAAGCAGAGGCAACCATTGCCGTGATCGATGTAGCTGTGGTGCAACAATTTTTTGTTAATAATGCATTATTTTTTTAAATATTTTAAATATATGTATATTTTGAAGCGAACTCTATATAGCTAAGAGAAGCGAATAAGTACAGGGTAGCTTCTACTCCAGTCAAGATCTGCGCATAACTACAGGCTACTCAATGCTTACTTGAATTCCTCGCTGTCGGGCAGTATTTCTCCATTACGCAACCAGACATAGCTGTAGGGTTCGTCGCTTTCAATGACACAGCAGAGATCGATAACCTCGCCCTCGACGGATTTAGTTAGCTCTGGCAATGGCTCGGCGATGGTTGCGCGTCGACGTTGTATATCAGTACTGGAGCCATGGAACTTGACATCAGTGGAGCTAATTAAAGGTTCATGATCGCCACTTATGATGCAGGTGTAGATGCCTTCGTCCTCCTCAGTTACGTTGTCCACAAACAGCATGGCTTCGTCCTCCTGCAGCACAATGTGCACCCGGTCCGATGGCTCCAGCTCCACATTGTTGTGATAGAATCTTACTGAGGGCACAGACGAGCCACGAAAGCCACTTGCCAATGCCATGCGGCCGCCAATAGCTGGAGAACAGGATGTTGATCAAGCAAAGGTTTCAGATGTGACGGGATTTACTCACCTGTAGAGGGGCCCATGATGCGTCTATAGAGATAGGCATTTCGTCTCGAGGAGGAAGCGCGCACGCTGCGTGTCGATGGAGACTTGGAGTAGCGTGAGCTGCTAATTACGTCCAAGCGAGCAGTGGCTTCTATGCGTCCAAAGTCATTCTCCAATGTTATTCGATACAGACCAGCATCGTCGAAGCCCACCTCATCGATCTCTATGAAGCGCAGATCATCGACTTCTTTGACTGCAATTCGAGGGGTGGGCGTGACAATCATGCCATCCTTGTCCCAGGTGGCCCACGGAGTGGGATGTCCGGCAATGGCACACTGGAAGCGCACGCTGTCGCCCTCCTCTACGACACGATTGTAGGGAATGGCTAGGAATTTGGGCGCTGATATGCAGCGGGCATCACTGCGACGACGCTCCACAGATCCCCTTTGCAGATCGATACTGCTGTTGCGGTAGGAAAGCCTCATGGGCGAAAAGCTTCGATTGGGAGTCGAACGAGGTGTGGAACGCGGTGTGGAGTGAGCTGAGAGTAAGGCACTTGGTCGTGCCAATTGGCGACTGAGCATATTCTCCTTCTCTTCGGGCACATCAACAATGATGCATGCTGATGAGAGCGTGCGGCCAACCGAGTTCTTGGCCACACAAGTGTATTCCCCTTCGTCCTCGGGATACACGCGTGGAATACTCAGCGTAGCCTTGACACCGTCAAACGACATCACGTAATCCCTGTCACTGGGCACGACATGCCCATCCTTCTCCCATATTATGAATGGCTCTGGCATGGCCTCCACATGACACTCCAACGAGATAGCATCTCCATCACAGCAGCGCAAATTCCGCAAATTGCGCACGAATCGCGGCAATGTCTCAATATTACTAAAAATTATATTAAAATATATAATTAGGAGTCTTAAACTGATAGTTTTCACTTACCCATGGCGCGTGTGAACTTTATCCATGCGATTATCTTTAAGTATATCTGCGAAATACAAATTAAAAATCGGTTTGGCGCACTTCTTAATGTATCTTTTCGCAACAGTTGAGCGTTGCTGAACGAGGTGAGTTAGCGCTAATTTATGGTAAAGCGTCTATTCTGCATAGCATACACGTATTCAAAATATGCATATATACACACAGCCATTTAAATATCAGAACTCATACTTATATAAAAGAGCTATATGTACACTTGAGGAACATTAGGAATTCTTTGCACTATTTAAATGTATTGCTACGAAACAGCTGAGCGGCACCGAGTGTGTTGAGTTAGTGATAATTTATAGTTGTATGTTCCATCCCTGGCTGTCGCTATTTATAGCAACTCTTCAGAGCAGCCAGCTGAATTTGTGTCGGCTAATTTAGTTGTCGATGTGCTTAAACTGTAAACTTATAAAATAAATACAAATGCGTGGCCTAATCATTGTGCCCATGGATCTGGAACCTGGTTTCCGGAAAGCAGATATACACAGCATACCCATTATTAGCAGTGGAATGGTCTTCAACTTTTTTGCAACCGCCACTGACAAAAAGATGTGAGTACCGTACCTACACACACGCACACATATATACAGCTATTTATTTATATGTGTTTATATAGCTTGCTGTATAGGAAAGGCTAATGGTTAAATTTTTGTTTTAGATCTTCAGAAAGCAATGATTTGTTGGTAGACTATGTTCACTTGCGTCGGCAGTCCGAGCTATGTGAAATAAAAGCTTTAGTTTTCTCTGCCACAGACTTCGCCAATACGGAAACACATGCCAATGTGGCCGTTAAGGTGATGGAAGATTCAAATACACTTACGGATGGACAATGCAGCTTGTGCGCAGGAGTTGGTAAGCAGTTTTAAGATACAAGAAATGTATAATTTGTAATTTCATATTATTTTAGCTGTTTGCCCACATGTTGTGGCATTTGTCTTCTGGCTGCACAACAAGAGCACGGATAAAAAGCCGGCAGCTGTAGTGGAATTTTGGGGCAATGAGTTGGAGGCGCTTGTTCAACCGGAGCCCACAAAGGCAGTGCGCATAAAGGACATGGTGATCAGCCAAGATCTGAACTCTGAAACTGAGGAGGATATCCCCTGCTCTAGTGAGAGCGAGGAACATGCATTTATGGAATCTGTGCTCGAAGAGCTCGCTATCTGCGGACGTGATTCAGCGCTGTATCGCCAGTGCGTGGAAACAACAGATGAATTCGAGTCAATACTCATACACCACATATTGTTGAAAGCAACAGAATACAACATTTACGATGTGCACAGTTTTGTACAGCATCTGGAGCTACAGGCGCAAGGTGGACTCTTCGAAAGCCTCAGCGAGGTGACCAAGAGGCAGTACAAATCAAAACTTTGGATAGAGGCGCAATATATGCGTATTCGCTGCTCAATGATGCACATGATTGCCACACGCAAAACCCCAGAGGAGGACGAACAGATCTTCAATATGCTGTTCTGCAAGGGACGCGACGAGGACATTGAAGACCGCGTCCAGCAGAAGCAACACAAACGTTTCATATTGAAACAAACCGAAAAGTTGGAAAACAAAGAGTATCTGGAATGCGGTTTGCTGCTACACGAAAACTATCCTTATTTGTGTGGTGCACCCGATGGCATTACGGATGATCATATTGTTGAAATCAAATCACCAAAGACTGAGGAGGATTTTGAGAAGTATCTGGAGGCTCGCGAATCCATTGCACCCAAATACATGGCGCAGATACAAACGCAAATGTTTCTGGCCAATGTGAAGAAGGCGCTGTATTGTGTGCTCAGTCCCACATTCGAAACCAACGGAGCTCTGCACTACGTTTGGGTACAGGCCGATCCCGAGTTTGTGGGCAGCTTGTTGGTCATGGCCGACGAATTTTGGAAGGAAGTTGTCTACCCACATCTCATCAGCATTTATCCACAAGCATTATAAGCAATAGCAACAAATATAAAGCTACAACTAGCTAGCTAGAGTCAATAGCTTCTTAAGGAATTAATCGACTCACCTTTGGCGTAGATTTGCAATGATATTACAGCCTTGGCCTCGCCATGGCAATTGCTGGCTATAACTGAATAAGTGCCGGTAAAGTCCAATTTGGCGCTGGGTATCTCCAAACGATACTCCGGCCCCTCGCCGATGCGTCGAAAGTGTGGCGCGTCCTTGTAGTACTCCGGCTGCAATTAAAGAGATAATAAATGCTATTTTTATTAATTGACACTTTGGAATGCAATAAACTGCAGCCATAAGGATCGTCACAGATCTCAGAATGAATGAGTCATGTGAGTCTTATAAGTCTGTTCTTTATTCATGATATATGCAATGTTGTTGTTGTTGCCGCAGTTGTTGCTGTTGTTGTTGTGCACAGCTTATGGCCATATAAGCACAAAATTTAATTTCGCGACTGTCAATAGGAAAACTGGTAACTGGAACTCGTACGAGTCTGCCACTGTGTGTGTGTGTGTGTGTGTGTGTGTGTGTGCGCGTGTATTTGTATTTTGGGTTGCCCACCCTGACCTCCTGCTTCCTTGGTACGAACAGCGGCACGATTGTTGGCTAATAATTTTTTGCTGCTGCTCGTTTTTGTTGCCGTTTGCTGTTCGCTGTTGCTTTTGCCTTTTTGGCTCTGGCTAACAGACGTAATTGTTTGTACAATCATGTTATTTGATATGGGTTGAACTTGAATTAGCGTTTGACAGCAGATCAGCTTTATAAGAACTAAACTGCCCATGTCTATATATCTACATATGTATGCACGTATGTGCCTGTGCATGTATGTATGTGTGCCTGTTTGTGTGTGTGTTAATTGTATAACGAGTGCGATTGACTGCGCTACGTGTGACGCAGGTGAGAGGTAATTCGAGTAAGCAAACAGCCGTTGCTGTTGCAGCTTAAAAACATTGCATTGTTCTGGCCCCTTTGGGAAAGGGGCACCACAATATTGTCACGCATTAAAAGTGTGGGCACTACATAATATACTCTTGACAACAATTCGTGTGCCTATGTATATGGTAAAAGGCCGCATTATTAATACATAATTATTAATAAATATAGTTGATTTTCAACTACTCTGAGCTGAATTTAAAATTAACTGTGTCCGGGTTTGCTATAGAGTGACTATCAAATGCAATTAGTTGTAGTTGAATACCTGCTATATCTACGATTGAATATTAACTACAAACTATTATATGCTGTGATGCGAACTAAGGTATTTTTTTTAGCAGCTTCAAATTGAGCTTTACTTGGGTAATTCCATAGATTATAGCGCTCTTAGGAATATCAGGGCGTGCCATATTTTGCCTAAGGTAGCTTGGTTTTAAGTTTATTCTCTATACCTTTTGCTAAATTATATTGATATTTGCTTTTTTAACACTTTGTTCGTTTGCTTCGGATCAATTGTTATTTTATAATATATATTCTTTGAAAAACTATATTATTTTCTTCGAAATCTATCCGCACGAACAACTGTTGCAATTCGGCATTTCGTTTGCACTGTAACTGTTTTCCAATAGTTAACACTTTATATATATTTATGTAAATTGTGCGGAAATCAAGATGGCATTGATATTTCCTGAATGCGAGTAGGGCCCATAGAACTGGCTGAAACGGACAGTTTGGTCAGTTCCATTCGGCGTTGGCGCACTTGCACTTGAATATTTTATTTGTTTTATGATATTGCAACGAGATACGAACGCGCCGACTGCGACCCACATTTGTTGGCGCCGCGTTTGCAACTGACTCGAGCAACGTGGCGCTGCGCAAGCGCTTGGAACCTGCCGCTGCTGACGTCACTGCTTGACCAAATGTGCTACACATTCATATATACATATATATAGATTGTAGATCTCTACTCACATTTAGAAAATCGCGCAGCCAGACAACGTCGGGCTTGGGATCGCCGACCACTTCGCAAAATATGATGACGTTGTCGCCCTCGTACGCCTCGCTCGAACGGGGCTTCACAACAAATAGCGGCTCCTTGGAGTAACTGCAGCAGGGATTTCGAAAGTAAATCGAAGGCGTTTATACAGTTTTCTCATTAGGATACTCACGGCATGTCGCTTGTCTTGATGCTGGGTATATCGAGTGCGCGTTGCGTTGTTGCAGCTGCTTCGTTCTCCTCGATGGCCACGCGACATATGGTCTCGACCTTGCCAACCACATTGGAGGCGACACAAACGTAGATGCCAGCATCGCGTGGCGTTGCCTCGGCAATGATTAGCTCCACGAAGCCCGTGGAGTCGAGAGTGGCGGATATGCGACGACTGGGACGCAGGCGCATGCCATTGCGATGCCAGGTGACACCCACAGCGGGATAGGCCTCCACTTTGGTGGACAGGCGAATTTCGGTGCCCTCACGGAACACATAGAATGGGTCCAGGGGCACGTAGAAGTCGGGCGAGATGTAGGCGCGTATGCCCTTGTCCACCACCAGACAGCAGTGGCAGGACACCGAGCCCAGTTCATTCTTTGCCGTGCAGGTGTAATTGCCGCTGTCTTCCAGCAATGTGGCTGCTATTTCCAGCGTGTAGAATTGACCCTCGGCCGTGATAAGATGTCGTCTATCACTGGTGATGAGTTGCTCATCCTTGTACCAGAGTATCTCCGGTGCGGGATAGCCAACAATTTGGCAGGTCAGACGCACCGGGTAGGTCATCTGAACGCGACGATCGCGCAGACGCATTGTGAAAATGGGCAACGATTCGCCCAGTTCAGCCGGATGGCGTCCGTGTGCAATTTCCTTCAGTCTCGAGTCTGCCTCATACAGCCGTGGATCAGAGACGACCTGCAGACGTGCAAACGTAGAGACGCGGCCCTTGGAGTTAGTTGCCTCGCAGGTGTAGCGCCCAGAGTCGAGTTCACAAACTGTGGTTATGGTGAGAGCACAGGTGGAGCCGATCTGGCGGATCTTGACACGATCGGAGCTGCTGCTCAGCTGTATGCCATCCTTGTACCAGGTAATCTGTGGACGCGGAGCTCCACGCATATTGCACTGCAGCGTAAAGGAGGAGCCAAGCAACGCCTTCACCTGACCAGGCAGAATCTTGACAAACTCTGGCAGGCACTCCACGCCGCCCACCTGTAGGGCGGAGCTGGTCTGCACCGCCGGTCCCCAGCCATAGCGATTTTTGGGTGTCACACGGAAATGGTATTCCACATTGGGCTTCAGATTGAATGCATCAAAGGAATTAATGGGCGTCAGACCCAATTCGCGCCAATAGGCGCCTCCGTCATGACCAACAATCCATGCTTCCACCTTGTAGGCAATGACCGGCGCAGAGTTGGCGCTGACGGGCTTGCCCCACGACAACGAGATGTGGGTGGGTCCAGAGTCAACGACCAGCGGCTCCGTGGATATACAGCCAGGTGGATCTGTGTGAATTGTGAAGATGCAAGTATATTGCATCAATTAAATAGATCATTGGCCATGGTAAATCAAACACAATACGCCCCGGAGAAATATATATTTTATTTTCTTGTTATTTTTTTCCTTTTTTTTCGACTACGTAAATGTATAAGCTGGATTGTTGTGCTTTATATAATACGCTATTTGTATACCATAATAAAATAAGTAAATAAGTCAATCGTTCAAAAATACTAACAAAAGATAAGTTAAATACACGGATAATTTCTTTATGTGTTGGACAATCATTGAATCTCACAGGAAATTGCTTTTGAGAAGTTTCTTGATTAGCGGCACAGAAGGCAAACAAGTTGGAGTTGAGGCGATCTGCAAAATATATTGGCAAGTCCATGCGCTATTGAATACTTGAGATAAAACTTTAAATGAAACACGCAATTGGGTTTGGTATAACAACAAAGAATCCGAATAGGATATCAAACATTTAAAGACTACGATAAAGAATCAACGGATTGATTATTCTACTCAGAAGTGGAATGATGTGAAACAAATAGAGAGTCAGCAAACATGGGAAGCTGCACACATAGTGGATAACTCTACGCTGAGAAGAAACATCGAAATGGAACACAGAAAGACTCTCTCATACTAAGAGCACAAAGAACGGAATGGAACACCTCAAGGAATACTCACCTCTGAAATACGAAGTTTCACTATAACTGTCCAGGGGTTGGCCCCAGCGTGGTTGCGTTGGGGTTTCAGAGCGAGCGCGCGGGTTAACCTATATAAGTTTTTATTTTTGTAGTCAGAACGATATTATTGTTTATTTGAATGAACACATAGAGTCGGGAAAGTAGACTTAGAGCATAAATAATTTTGATGCATTTAGAGGGAGGCGTTTAAATTTGCGCAAAGAGTATATAATATGTATATAAATATAATTGAAATAAGCTTTATTCTTTCTTTTTGGGCGTTTTAATCTAGAAAAGCATAAAGAAATAGAGAAAGAGAGAGAGAGAGAGAGAGAATAGCAAAGGTTAGTTAGCAAAAGCATTAGATCAATAGCAAGACATTCAGGTACAGCGACAGCAGATACAAACGAATAACACAAACAGATATTCATAGGCAGTACGTACTGTAATTGTGACGAATATTCTATCCGTGCCAAAGTCGTTGCGTGCAACAACGAAATAGGTGCCGGAGTCGGAAATCTGCGACTTTTGCACTGTGAATCTGGTGTAGTCGTCGGATACCTCTTTGCTGACCCGATCCGATTGGGTAATATCCTTGGTGCCCTTCATGAACACCACTGCGAATACCAAACGAAATGAGAAGCTGCAGAGGATATGCAAATTGGGAAAGCTTACGTTTCGGTTTCGGATCACCCGCAATACGGAAGGAAATCGAGAACGGATCACCTACGGCGATCTTCATTTCAGTTTCAGGTCTGGACAGGAAGAGGGGTGGGCGTTCGTTCTTCTCAGCGCCAACAGCCACATCAATGTTGACATGCGACTCAATGCGTCCAAAGGCATTCGAGGCGAGGCAAGTGTAGGTGCCTTCGTGCTCAGCCGACGCATTCATGATGGCCAGCGTGTAGATGCCACGATCGTT